CTGCTCAGTGAGGGAATTTAGCAAGCATTAATCCTTCTGAAAAAGCAGCCGGGTGTTTGAGAATAGTTATTATCATGATTTGTTTTTTCCCCAACAGAGTAAGTTAATTCTTTCCATAAAATCTTGTTCATCATCATATTCATATCCTGAGGCAGACCTCTGGCTTATGCTTTCTTTCTCTCTGTCTTTCTCTTCCCACCATGTGCAAATATATGTACACTCATACATATGTACACACACATGCACATGTACACACAATATGCATGTACATACACACATGCACACTCACACTCATGTACAGTACATATGCACTGGTGCGTGTACACAGACATATGCAGCATGCAAACACAAGACAACATGCCTATACACACAAACACATACTTGTACACACATTCCTACACACAAATCTTATTTTATTAGAACTGACATATGCTTAGAGAGTTGGAGTCATATTCTTTTTCTAACATACACAGACAAGGAACAAGAGGGTAATGGGGGATTGGAGTAGAGGATGATTGTGGGAAGTACAATGCCTCTTCTCAAAGACTTCAGAATGTGTTGCTGGACTATTAAAACACTTTATTCCAAGGCTGACGCAACACCGAGTCTACAACAACCTATAGAGCAAGTACTTAAATTATTTGCATTTTTCATATGAGGAAACAGGCTCTGAAAGGATAGATACTGTTCCCAAATCATGCAGTGGGGCCTTCAAGCATGTATAGGCATTCTGGGAGGACAAATCCTGAACTCAAATCATGCAGTGGGGCCTTCAAGCATGTATACGCATGCTGGGAGGACAAATCCTGAACCCAAATCATGCAGTGGGGCCTTCAAGCATGTATAGGCATTCTGGGAGGACAAATCCTGAACTCAAATCATGTAGTAGGGCCTGAAGGCACTCTGGCTCTGGTTGTCAAGTGGGATGTTTCTTGTTCCTCAGATTACATTAGTTGCTCATTTCTATAGACCCACAGCTTGCAGTCTGCATCCTCCCAAAGTTTGGACAAGCAGCATAGCAGCAGAAAAGTATCACTATAAGTTCCTTCCCGATACCCTGAATCCTGTGGCCCTTTCTGAACTCAGCACTCATCCCAAAACTCTCACGGAGGTAGCATCCCAGTAGCTCAGCCACATACTTGTTCATGTTTGTTCCAGTATGGGAAGCGTTCTCTTGCCTGCTGCCACTCTCCCTTCCCCAACCATGCCTATTGTATACAGTGATCATCAATGCATCAGAAGTAACAGCTGAAGAAGAAGGTGTCTCAAATTGTATTAACAACTAGTTCTCAAAACTGCATGCCCAGAAGGATAGACTAGGATTGACACGTATGTTTGAATGGCTTTTGAGAAACTAAATTCAAACATGTAAAAGAGCCTGAACTTCAGAATCCGTAGCAGCATCTGATTTAAACACACATAGGCTCCGCTGGGAATCTGAGTGGTCCAAGGGATTTGTTTCTCACTATGTTTTGTGCCATGCTGCTCTCGTGGTAATAAGCTGTGTTGCTGGAGAGGAAAGTGAGAACCGAGCTGTCAGCACCTCCAGGTCCTGCCAAATCCCCCCTGTCCACATGCCAGGACTCTGAAATGCGCTAGGGAATTTGGATTTGGCTTAGTGGGTATACGATTCTACTGAGTAAGTTCAGCCTTGGCAAACTGACATAGCTTAGAGAAAACACTGGTAAATTTTGTCTTACAAGATGCTGAATCCGTTCAAGAGAGGCAATGTTCGTGAAACCAGTGAGGTCTTGCATTCCTTCCCCTGTGTGTCCCCCCACCATGTGTAGGTCTCATGGCAATATTCTGTTCAGGCTGTCAGCTCTGAAATCTACTATAGGATGAGACACAAGCACTACATGGCCGGGGGCAGAGGGCAGGGTACACATCAAAATACACCCAGCATTTGACACAAGTGGTAGACTTGTATGATTTTGAGCTCACAACTCTTTGCCCCTCAAAAGATTCAATATCAGCTCTGTTGATACAGTGCTAGCTCTGAGAGCATGAGGATCCGGGTTTGGACCTCCAACTGCCACATAAACATATGGGAATGGCCATGCAGGCCTCTGCCCCCAGTGTTGAGTGGGGCAGACAGATCCTGAAGAGTTTCTGGCCAGGTGAGCTTGTTTATCTAGAGACCTTGTTTGAAGACAATAAAGAGAACGATAAGAAGCTTCCAGTGTCCTGCCCTGCTCTGACCTCAGTGCATGTGACACAAACACATAGTTACAGATACATTTGTGTGCCGTAGACAGCACATGCATGCACACACAGAGCAACTTCAGAATATGGAAGGAGCCATTTTCACTAAATGCCACCTACCACTTCCAGATTTATTATTTTGTGCTCATTGTTAGAAGAACTAAAGAACTCCAGGTGGGCTTCAGATATCATCTCTGTACTCAGAAGTTACTCAGCAGTAGGACAAGGTCCTTCCAACCTAAATAATTTTAGTCACTTGGAGCACATACAACAGGAGCTGTATGAAGGTTGCTCACATACCTTCTACCACTGAAGGACTGTGTCCCTTCAGCCACTGGGGCACAGAGTTCTGTGCCTATACTTGAGGCTACCCTTCAGGGAATAGGTGCTGTGTGACACCTGGCCTGACAGGTGACACAGAAGGCTGAAGTGTTCACACAGCTGCAGTGTCTTTTCTCCAAACTTTTTACTGTCCAACTTAGGAATAGTAAATACCTAAAATATGTACCAGAGGTGGCCTTGTGCACTTCGGAAATATATGTAACTAAAGAGAATTCCCCGTCAGTTCTGGCTTCTGCACTCTTTCAGCTCTGTTAGCAATAACTGGTAGAAAGCACAACCTGCTTTTCTAGTTGTGCATGTGCACAATTTGCTTCACCTTGCAGTGCCCTCCTCTGGAGACAGAACAAAAACCTAATCCTCATGAGACTCTGGAGGAACTCAAGTGAGCCAGCACTGGCTCCTACAAGAAGGGAAAGGTAACACCCCATCATCAGCTTCAGTCACATGATGCTGACACAAACTTCGGAGCTTTTGGAGTTAAAAATAACTTATTTTTAATACAAAATGCAGTCATGTGTAAAAATATGTACAAAATGGTTTGCATTCAGTTTCTCTAAGGACATTGGTAATTTAAATATTTTTTGCTTGTGTTTCATATTATTCTGGGCCCATATTAGTGACATTTTACCCATTTCTGATTATTTTAAGGCTTTCAAATGGAAAGATATAATTCATCTGTCAGCAAACTGATTCCTTGGGCCAGGCACTTGACCATGGCTGGCCCTATTTTGGGAAAAAAAATGAGACTTTTTAGAAGCGTACACCTTTAAAATAATATGAAATTGTAAATATTATAGACTTTCCCTTTACATACACATCTCTGTGCGCCTGCAAGTCTGGCCTTGGTCTGCATCCATGTGCACTATGGTCGTGGGCAGTGGCCAGTGCCATGTGCGGTGCCGGGATGTGCAGATCACTTCTATTTGGAGCACCCTGTGTTGACCAGCATTTGTATCCATGCTGGTGTGCACAGTGTAAATACAGCAATTTGAAAACATGTTGACTTGTTTTTTGAGAAAATGCTCTCTTTAGTGCATTTTAGGGTCAATTGGACAAAATTGTGTCAATGAAGGAAAGTAAAACACATTCTAGATTCTCCTGAACACACACACACTTTAGGGAAAATGTGGCTCCAACATTCAGGACAACGTTCTGTCCCTCTCTATTGCTTTAGCCAAGTGGACACTGAAAAAACATCACAGGGGCACTGATCACAGCACAGACTCCACCTTGCCGCACTGTGAGAGGGGAATACAGGATGGGGGGGGGGAATCCATGAAAGAAAAACAGAGTTTAGAGTGCAATTAACTTCTTACACAGCAGTCTGTAGCAGAAAAATACTAATTTTACCAGAGTTTAAATCTCATTTGAAAATGAAGTTTAAATGTACAACATTCCTCATAAATTTGTGATGGCTGCTGTACCCAGTACTCTAAAGGTTATTGTAGCTATCCCTTTATTCTTTTCATTCTGAATCTTTACCTTTCAAAGAATTGCAAGTTCAACCCTGCTCACCGTTTAGCCGACCCTCAGGGTTGGCTGATGGCCCCAGAACATTTCCTGTAAGGTTGAGGATAGCAGTGCAAACTGACTATTGGAACTGGTCTAGGAATGTCAGGTGCAGAGAGCAGCCCCAGCCTGCAATAGGCTCTTCCTGCTGTGTAAATGTTGCATCAGAATGAGACAAAGCAGAAACTGTTCTCTGCTACAAATAGTCATGACTGATAACAAATCTATAATAAATAATAATCTTCTGACTCAAAGTAAGGTTAAACTTTAAAACTGGCAACCAACTGGAAGAATCTAGGATTCACAGTAAAGTCTAGAAATGATAATAATTTTAAAAAGCCAGCTCTTTGATTTGAAATCTGACTTGATCTTTCCTGGAGACCACTAAGCGTGTGCAAAAAACATCTACAAAGGTTTTTACAATTTCACAGGAGGCCTTTATCCGAAACATCGTATCACCATGTCTTAAAAAGCGAAAGCTAACCTGAATGATGAAAAGATGAAATACTGAAATGATGCACACTTAATAATATAGAAATCTATTTCAGTCTTCACTGTGGACACAATAAAAGCAAGTATTTTCAAACATTACATGCCTTTGTCACCCTATTAATCCTCATGATCACATTATCAAGCTTATTTTCACATAAACCCTTAGTATTTATGTTGCTATATGCTAGTATACATGCACATTCCCAAGATAGTAAAGAGAATCCCTAGTCTGCAGCATCTGTGTGAAGCCAATTAAGATGCTGCCTCTAGTGCTTGGAGATGCAGAGCTGCAGAGACGGTTGCCATGGAGACCAATTTTCCCCCACATTTCTAGAGATCCAGAAACTGCTGAGTAATGTGCCATCAGAGAAAACCTGTTGTAAACACAGCTCCCACCTTCACTTGGGCTCCATTTTATGAGGAAAATAAATAAGAAATTATGAGGAAATCCATGATATTCCATACATGGTTTATTTTGCAGTAACCTGATCACATAAAACTGAATGGGGAGTCCAGAATAAATCTTAGCTCGTTTACCTTTGGTACAAACAATGGATTTCAAAATATCTAGTAGCTTCTCATTTGTATGCAGCTTAAAAAAAATCTCTAGTGTATTTTTTTTCTTCAAAACACTACTCTTAAGCAGATGTGCTTTTAAAGTTAACTGGTGCTGATCTGAGTTATTCCACAGTTTACTTAGGAGAATAAGGACTTAAAAATTACAGAGTAGATATGGATTTCTTTTTAAAAATACAATTTTTGGTCATGTGAATGATTGATGTTCAGGCTTCGAAAGTAGAAAATATCCTACATTACATAATTTTATTTATACTATACCTCCTTGAAATCATAGCAAATGTAAACAGCAGAGCAAAGAACATCAAACTGCATTTTCGTATATATTGAAATTTGTAGGACTATGTACCATCTATAAGTGTGTAGACAAAAAAAGAGTATTTCCAACACATAGCTCATGCTTCTATGTGATTACTTGTAAAAGCAAACCTGAAGGAATTCTTCACCCACCCAGCCCACCCCCATTACTGAAAGAGCCTCCTGATGACAGAGCTACAGTGAGGAGAGCAGTGCTGAAAAATCATTTGACTGGAGAACCCCAGACCTGTTTTATCATTTATCCACTCTCCTCATTAACACTACCCTGTGGAACATGACCCTCAAAACAGAACAGGGTCTCGCTGCTGTCTGCCCAACCCCTCTTGCTGTCTTCTAGAAGCAAGGCTGTCATACACCTTGTACAGGGGCCTGCACAGCCAAGCCTGTGCTCTTCAGACAGACACGGGAAATAGAAAGAAAGAACACACCAGAGTGACAGCAGGTACACAAAAGAGATGAATGACTGGTGTCTTAAGTTCCCTGGTCCCTCCAAAATGTCTAATATAGACAGCTTTGTGACACAGTCTTTGAAGAAAAAAAAAAGCATCAAAATTGGCCACACACCATTTTGTTGCTGTATCATTTTGAAAACGGTGTGATCTAGATTCTGCCTTGAGAGTGAGCTGAGCTCTGAGGGCTACATCTTACCCATCATTTTAGGGATTTTAGTGCAGATTTACTTTCGTAGAAAAATGGTGCTCTGGTAAGTTCAGGAGGCTGATACAGACTCCCTCTGCCCCATGACATTCTATACCTACTCTAATAATTAAGCAAGACCCTTTCGTTTGGCTAGTGCAACAACAAAATCGAGCCCCAAACAGGTTATCATCGAAACACTGGCCTCATTTTGTATTCAGCCTCAATATCTGAGACTGGAAAGTGCAGTCAGTGTCTTGAAGAGTTTTCAGGCTCTTCAGGTGTCACCTGATTTTAAAAATAGCATCTGCATAGCTACTTCTGTAGTCGCTCTGTCCTCAGAATACACTAGGTGAGGCAGGGACTTAAAATCTGTCAGCTGAGAGAGGGCATCAACAAAACGACTACCCTGCCACTGGCAGATGCAGCTTCCATCTACCTGAGAGCTAACGAGGAAATGGATTTATGGGAGTGAGTAAGTACAGCTAAATGGCCAAGGCAGCAAATAGTGTGCCAATGCGTGGTTACCATGTAGTGGGGTAGGGACAGCACAGACCTCCACAACAAGCGGGCTCTGCGAGGGAAGACCTGAGCTTGTGTTTGTCACAGTTTTAGAATGGCCTCGGTTGTCAGGAAAAAAAACAAAACAGTGGGTTATCTACAGATGGGTGTGGCTGATGGTGTGGTGTGTCTAGTCACTGCTCATGTCAGTGAAGTTCCTACTGTAGTGTACGTTGAAACATGTAGGAGTCTTGACACTGGCATTATAAAATTCCTAAGTCAGGACACACTGGCATCTTCCATGCAGGTAGTTTCTAAGGCAGGCAATGGAAGCAGGAGCCAATATGATGGCTCAAAGGCAGATTGACTGCTTTGTGGGTACAGCTCCGAGGTTGCCTCCCCAGAGCTGCTCTTTCCTGGGAGAACTGTTGTCCGCACCACCAGCCATTCACATGGATTTGGAGTCAGCATCTCTTTTGCTGATGAGCACCTCCAGCAGTCGTAGCTTTGCCTTTATGTGCTTGTATTCATTGTATTCTTCAGCCATGGGAATACGGTCTTCCTTCTGGACATTTCTAGAGGAAACAAAGGAAAGGGGGACTGAGGATCACTTTCTGCCTGTTAAAAGGATAGTATGAGTCAGGAATTGTCATTTGGAAACTACATAATGTCTCAATCTAAAGTCAGTGTTGATAATTGGCTCTTGGTATCAAATCTTTGTCTGGATTCAGACTAGTGAAAAGTGTGTTTCCTCTAGAAGTACCATGCAACTTGAGGGTCTATAAAGTTAATCTAGGATCTAAGAGGAGATCACAAACAAATAAGAATTATCTACTGAACTTAAGTATGATTTCACAGTAATAGCTTATTCAGAGTAAACAAAAATATTTTATTCATTCTTGACTTAAGATTTTTATTTCTGTGATAAAACAATACAACCAAGAACAACTTGAAGAGGAAAGGTTTTCTTCTAGTCTATCATAAGGGGAAGTAAAGGTGGAAATTAAAGGCAGGAATACAGAGGCAGGAACTGAAGAGGCCATCCATGGAGGATCGTGCTTAGTGGCTTGCTCAACCTGATTTCTTATAACACCTGGGACCACCAGCCGAGGGGCAGCATACCCATATTGGGCTGTGCCCACCCCACCAATCATCAATCAAGAAAATGAACTACACGTTTGCTTACATTTTCTCAGCTGAGGTTCCATCTTCTCAAATAACTCTAGCTTGTGACAAGTTAACATAAACCATACAATTCTAAATACTTCACTTTTGTATCTTTTATCTAATAAACCAATAAATTTCCTTTTAAAGGCTTATTTACTTTTATTTTACATACATGAGTATTTTGCCTGCATATGTATGTATAACTGCATGCCCAGTATCCACAGAGGCCAAAAGAGGAAGCTGGATTCCTATACCTGGAGTTATGGCTGATTATGAGCTTCCATGTGGGAATCAGACCTGAGTCCCCCACAAGGGCAGCAAGTGCTCTTAACTGCTCACCCAATTAAATTTCCAATCAGCAATCAACATACCCACAATTTGTAGGTATTTTAAGAAGAGTTGATATTCCTAATTACAGACTCAATTTAGGGATTCAGCAATTGGTCACATAGTACTAAGCCTTTGTAGTTTGCTGGGTAATTTTATATGCAAACTTATATGCATTATTATTAGCTTAAAGCTTACTCTGCGGTCCATGGTACTTTATATCTATTATCTAATACAACTCTCACAACAGCTTGACCAAGAGGAGTACTGTCTTTATTCTTGTATACAAGATGCAGTCAGAGCAGGCAGCGACACTCCTGGAACAGTGACTGCTCCAACTAGCAGTCACTATGGAATCCATGTAGCAAGCATTCAATCACCGTGATTCCTTTTCTCTTTGCTACAGAGCAAAAAATGGGCAAGGGGGACAACAGAGGGTTTTGTTAACAAATGAAACTGCTTTTATTCTTATCTGCCTTGCTTTGGTGAAGGATGCTAAGCAGCTCTTTGGTATAACTCTGGAACAGAGGCTTAAAAAGAATATCTCCTCCCAGGCACCATTATGCTCTGGGAGGGGGCTTATACTTGAGACTTCAGGCGGACTAGAAGTTATGATATCATTGGGCCCTCACAGCTTAAACCTGAGTGATGGTTCAGGTTCTATCACTCATCAGGACAGCTTTTTCTAAAAATGCCTTTGGCCTTCAGAAACCGAACTTTTGCCAAAGCTGCAATCAAGTTAATGGTGTGCCCGAGACTATTCAAAACTCTGTTCTCAGTCTGCTTCCCTACTACAACGTAACTAAACTACCTCTGCCTTCCCACTTAGCTCTTACAAGATAAGCTAAAGGCATAGCTTTAATCTTAAATTATGTGTTTTTCCATCCCAACTCAGAATAGTGATGTGTGTGTACGCACGTGCGGAATCAACTACTAAAAACAGCCAGTAGTATGAAAAGGAGCTTAAGAGAAACATGTATCTACCATAAATATTGGCAGGAATATGTGGATATAGGTTGATAGCATTTGCTTGTGGATTTGAATGCTATTCTGGGTCATTGGGGTTCCTAGAATAAATTCTTTCCTTGTAAATTTTGGTAAAAAAATCAACTAAGACCAGTGATTCCTCATCTCCTTCTAATGCCATATTTTCTGTGTAATTCAACAAGCATAGAGCAAAGCCATTCATGAGGGACAGATGGAAGACACGGGGGAGGAGTGGAGAATTCAAATTTGGTCTCACTATTGATTTAAGCTACTCCAAACAGCCTTTCCCCCACCCCACCCCCATCAAAGTGGCACCAGTGAAATTTATACTTTCTTAAACCTTCTGTGGGCTCCACAATATATAGTTCATGTATAGAATTCTGTGCACAAGCTTGTGAGGAAAATGTAAAAATGAAGGCCATACAGACAGAAATATTAAATTAACACTTTAACAATTAATAGTACATTGACTTATTTTGGTTATTATTATTATTTTAGAAATTACTTGTCTGCTTATCCATATTTTCTAAATAATCTGTGATGTGTGTAGGGGGAAAATGTAACATTTAGTTATAAACATGTAATAACCTTGAGAAAAATTGTTATACAGTAGAGGCAAGTTAGAAAAATAAATTTATGTGATATTTCAACTGAACTGGGCTATAACACAGCCCCAATGTCAAAGTTAATTGTTATAATTCTTTTATTTCTTTACAGTCTAGGGCATCAAAGTACTCCAAAGAAACTACAGACAGCTTACCTAATTTGGATTAATGTAAAACCACTTTAGGAGAATAAAACCTAAGTCCACCTGAGAAACACAGATCTATTCTTGGTCCTGTCCTTGAACTCAGATATAATGTGAGGAGGACATTTCCTCCTGTGACAAAAAACTTTCCCAGCAAATTTAGTAAACAGACAATTCAATTCCATCTTAAAACTCACTGGATAAAACAACATAGTCACTGGGCAGATACATTTATAACTGTTTCTCATAGACATCTTTCATTCAGGCTTGGCAACTACCATCTTAGTTCTTTTAGTTTTTTTACTGGCCATGAGTGAACCCAGAACTTTGTACAAATTAAGCCATATCCCCATGCCAACTTTGGATTTTAAACTATGGCTATCCCCCCAACCCCCGATCATTTTTCTCCCTCTTGCTTCCTGAGAAGAAACTCAATGCTGTCCGTTTGAAATTCAGCTCTGACCTACTCATTTTAGGTGAGAACTGAATGTGACCAGTTAGTTTTCCATATCAGCAGACTCAGCTCAGGTCCTGGACACTTTATGAGAAACGTTTCTTCTAAAATATACATCTCATGGTCTTGCTGGAGATCTCTGAGCATCCCTGGGTGTAAACCTGAAAACCTAGTTGCAAGGAGAATGTAGCACAGTTCTCACTTTGGAAGCACTCCACGGATGGGGCAGAAACAGAGGGCCTGGAATGGGAAATGAGTTGAAAAATGAAAGAAGAAAAGATAGGGAGACACACACATACCTCCCATTTTGTCGAAAAAAATTGTCTTCAAAATCATGAAGTTTCTTTCGAATCCTTTTCTTTTCTTCTCTCATTTCCTGAAGGTATTCCAAGAGTTCAGGTCTAACAAGGAAGATAAATTAAAAAAAAAAAAAAAAATAGACATGAACTGTTTTATGTGTAATGTGCATGTGATTTGATAGGAGTTGTGAAGAAGGAAAACAAAGCAATTTAGAAGTCACAGAAAACTAATAAACAGGTTGCACTTTTTCTCTATCTTTCACTCCCCTTCCCTCTCTTCTTTCCTCCCCTCATCTCTCTCCATCTCTCTCTCTCTCTCCTATTCACTGCGCACTCTAGATAAAGTTGTCCTTTGCAGCTCTAAGCTGACCTGGCCCAGGCTGCACTCTAGCCCAGGCTAGCCTGAAGCTCACTTACTGTTCTGCTTTAGCCACTAGGCCCATTTCATTATTTTAAATCATTATTTTCTTTATATACACACACCCTAGGTAAGTTACTTGTGGCTTTTTGGTTAACTAACATTTATGCTGTTATTTGAACTAAACAACTATAATACCACTCCCCAAACAACATACATTGAAGCAGAGTGGAGGTTTGAAAGGCCTGAGTCCTGGCTGCACTTTGATGGTATTTTGTCATCCATTGGTGAAATAAATCCATCAGCATCATCTTCAAGTTGGTCCAGAAAGCAATGTGCACTGCAGTCTGTTTTCAGAGTGACGGGAAAGTCTGGCCTTGGGGAGCTGTCATCTTCTGACCCCTCGTCTTGTTCCTGGAGATACACGGCATCCCTAATAAAACTCTGAGACTACTTTGGAGCATGTTTCCATTCAAAGATCACCTAATTAACCAGATTCGCATGGTTTCTCCCGGGTTTTTATTTAAATGATGGCACCAAAACCAAGTACAAAAGGCAAAGCTGGACTAAGCCAGGAGGCACTTCCTATCTCAACTGTGCTTTATATCTGTAATCTCTGCTTGGCCCAAAGAAATAATGCTTTGGTATTCTTTTCAATTTAAATTATTTTAAGACTTGAGATAAAACTTGATTTTTAAACAAACAATTTTAAAGTTTCTCTTTATAAGTAGAATAGTTCCCACCTATGTCATTTTTATAAAACTTAACTGAGGCAGCATATGCTCAGAACTTGGACAGGCTCAGCTGGCAAGAAATACATGTGAGCCTCCTTCTCTTCCTCCTTCTCCCCTGCATGAGGAAGATGAGGGGAGAACAGACCTGAAGCCCAGGCAGAAGTTGGGCCTGAATATTGATGCCTCAGAGCTTGGCCAAACCCTGCACAGATTCTCAACAAATGTCTGGTGAGCAGTCTAGCAATTCAGATCAAAAAGAAAGCTGCAAATGGATTTTTACAGGTGGAAAAAGATACCAAGGAAAGCTGCAAATAAGAATGTAAGATTTCACTTCTCAAAAGTTATACTAACTTTTGAGATCATTCAGTGGTCAAGAGCACTGGCTGCTTTTCCAGAGAACCCAGGTTCAATTCCCAGTACCATCTATCGCTCACAACCAATTGTAACCAGTCCCGGGAAGTCCTATGCCCTCTTCTGGACTTCAAAGACACTGAATACACGTGGTTCACAGGCATACACTCAGATAAACACTCATATACATGAAATAAAAACAAATAAAATCTCTAGAAAGTCCTATTAATTACATTCCAAAGTCTGGAGAGAATTTGAAGCACTCTCATATTTTTTTCAGATAAGCCTAGCAAAACCACTCTCAGTAGCATGAGAAAATCCTGAGGAAAATGAAATACCACAAATAAACGTTGAAATAAGATCATAAATGGTAGTAAATATGGAGTGTAGTCCCCAAATAATACCCAGATAAGATATGAGCAGTTGGGAAAGGGCCAGTGACCAATGTGCTAGCATTGGACCGTTCATAAATCAGCGTTCAGTTTTTGATAGGACTGTTGCTGCTTTGTCTGAATTTTGATAGAGAACAAGGTGAACAGATCCATCAAAAGGAAAGGTGACTATCAACATTTCAGTCACGATGCTACAATGCTGACATGAACCTGAAAGGAAAAGTCCATAGTAGGCTCTCAGCCTGAACCACCAGTCAACAATTATTAATCACCTCGATGAAATATAAAGGGCATATTCCACACATGCATTAATGACAGAGTAGAGTGGGTCTCTAGTTTGCTGCAACACAGAATCTATATTTCTCTTACTTTATATAGCTTGATAACAGTGTAAAAAGCAGTTCAAGGTTCTGTCAGTAGGTAAGGAAAAGGAAAAATGGGATACATAGGAATCCATAGACAGGAACAAGGGGGTCACGTGATCTCTCAGCACAGTGGGAATTACAAAGAGGTGGGTCATGGACAATGGGTTTCAATGGGATGATTATATCCCCTAGGTATTTACAATATCTAGAGCCATTTTTGGCTGTGAGAACTCAAGAAAGGATGGTAGCAACTTGTGGATGGAAACACCTCACAGCAGTTACCCTGATTTAGCGCCAAAAGGGTAAAAGCTGAAAATCTGCCTAGTGAAAGTCTAAAATGAAGTTGGCAAAGATTGTCAGTTACATGGGTGAGGATCTGGAGAATTTAAAGGGCTTCTCTTGTTAGGTAAGGTAAAGCAATGCCTGGCTTTTGGTCTGCTGTCCTGGCTAAAACATAGCAAGGATAAAACTAGCTTTAGAGAGAAACATATAAACTGATCTGTGTGTTTTCAGCAAAGTCAGTGGCTCCTGAAGGCCCTGGAACCCACATTCTGTGCGGAGCAGTCTGAGCATGGAGAAAAGGTGGAAGGAAACAGCATGTGACTATAAATGTGTGAAGAGCCATAAAGGGAAGAAGCCATATGTGTGTTCCCTGGCCTTCTGTGGAGTGGGGGTGGGGTAAAGCCAAGTGTGTGTGTGTGTATAATGTAATGAGCTATTCCAGCTACAAAAATGCCAGTTTTCACTGTGATTATTTTGCATTTATCAAATTAATAAACTCTAAAATTATATGCTATGTAATTGCATTCTATTTTGTAATTAAAGCTGGTTAGAAAATTGGTTCGATGGTAGCTGCTTTTGATACTCAACTCATGTCATATGCCTTGCCTTCCCACTGCTCTGAAAGGTTCAGTCATGAGAACAGAATCCTATTTTAGTGTGTTTAGAGGGTTCCTGTAGTGTACAGGAAAATTCTCTGAGCTTATTGTGGGTTGAAGGTCTTTAGGACCTTCAAAACTTGAGGTGGCTCTATTTCTTACAAGCTAGCTTCTTCTAAAACACAAGTATAGTCAGGGATAAGTTATTTGGTCTTTTTTTTTTAATCTCCAAACACACTAAATTATAGATTGTATTAGAACTATTATGTGTTAGCACATATCAAGAGCCCTGTCTGATTAGAACAAAATGAACCAAAAGACAGCAGTATTTATAAAATCAATGCAACCATTGCAAAATTACTTGTAATTTTGAGCATGATATGGGCCAGTGGGCAGTAAGCCATAGCTAAAATATTCTTCCCAAAATAAAACATTGTTAAAGAATAAGAATGGGTAGATTGTCCTCATCCAAGATGGGCATTATTAGGATATCTGCCATTCATGTAATGAGGCAATTATTAAGTGTGTCACATCTTGCATGTATTCAAGAGCACGTTTTTACCTGATAATAAGTCCATTATATGCTGCTGAGAGAAGCATGATAATTTTCATATACAAACTATCCAAATTTCTTTAATTACCACGATTCAGCTCCTCCATAAAACTACCAGATGGACAAAGCTTCTTGCCTTCCATTGATATCAAAGCATATTGTAAGAAAATAGCTCTAATTTTAAAGATATAATTTAGCACACTAGCCCTGATTTTTCAGTATTGCACTCACAATTTGTATTCTATTTAGTAACGTTATTATCAAGCACAGTCTTTCTAATACTTTAAAATTGGATATTGTAGTGTGGGTTACCTCAGCTCCAGCAAGAAAATGAAGCTTTCAATTGGTCACCCTCAATAGATTATTCTGAGATGATCATTTCCTAACTGTAGGAAATAAATGACCACACTCAGCTTAGAATGTCACAGAAATATGACAGGTAGGAACTCTTACAACTTACTTCTGCTTTTGGATTTATTTTTTTCCCCTTAGGCCCTAAATAACTACTAAAAAAGTAATCATGATTAAAAAAACAAAAACAAAAACAAGGTGAGAAACAAAGCAATCTGCAGTCAAAGCAAAAGCAAAACAGAATGAATTAGCAAAGAAGAGAATGGAAGGGAATTGGCAAGGCTATGATAGAAACAGGATGTGACTGTTCACAGCTGGGTTGGGTAGCTACTGATTTGCAGGAAACACTACTAGAACCACCACCCAAGGGGTGTCTTGAAGAGTGGGGTTAACAGGACAGTGTTAGCACCAAGCTCTTCACCTTGATCTCTTTGAAGAAGGAAGCAGTTTCGCCCTCGATAATCGGCTGCAGCAAAGGGCTTCTCCGTTTGCTGGAGGGGGAACCCTGTGACAAGCATTAACAAACAGGTTATATTATGATCACCCTTTTCCTTGCCTTTTACAGCTCTTGATCTCCTTGAACAAACCAGTATTCACTATTGTATCTTAACTACATTTTATAAACATTTCCTACCAAAATCTCCCAAGAAAACCTAATACAGTCAAAGATCCAAGTGGATCCTCCCCTCCCTAAAAGCCCACAGCTACAAATCAGAGCACAGAGTAAGAAGGCACAGGCTTTTTTTCTTTTCCAACCAAACTCTCAGGAATCCTCTAAAGAAAGCACTTACCCATACACCCTCCTCCCTAGGCCCAGCAACTACACTGTGATGAGCAAAGGCAAGTAGCTCAAGGTCAAACAAGCACGTAAAGGTTATTGGACTTCTCTGTTCTGCATTCACCCTGTTTAGGAACCCTAAGTGTTCCTAAATGGTAAAAGACAATGACTCTTTACATTAAGTCATTTTGTTTATTATTTTATTCTGCAGGAAAGAGAGTAGCATTATTTACACCTGGCTAGGGTCTTGGGGCTGTCTCTCAGTCATAAAAATGAGTGTGCTATTAAAGGAAATGTGAAAAATGGGAGAGGAAATGTGAGTGAAACGCTAGATAAGAGCAGCAGCTAAAGAGAATAAACATCTGGCCTGGGGAGGACATTCTCAGGCTGGCTAAGGAAAGGAAGAAGGCTGTCAGTAATAAAATACTTCCTACAACCAGAGACAAGCTGATTTCCCCCTTGACAAGATCAAACCCAGGTGCTAACTGCAATTATATCCCAGGATGCTGGCATGGTAGGCAGCTTCCCAACCATCAGCTTCCCTTGCTCTTCTTCCACTTCCTCTCCACCCTCATAACCTCCAAAACAAGGACCTTTTCACTGGCATTCTTTAGAGGGTCCTCCTTGTGTCAGCTTTTTAGAGAGTGGTCTCACTAGTGAGTGGGAAGAGACTATCAAGAGACAGCACAAGAGAGGCATCTTTGGAAGGAAAAGCCTGGAGAAAGTCCATCCTTACCTCTTGTGCTCTGTCTCTAAGGAATGGGTTTAGGTATTGGCCCTATGATTAAGTCATTAATTCATAGCCTGATCTTTAATGAGAATGAAGGTTAGGATCCTATTAGTATAGGTGGGGCTCCTCCAATAGAAAGGGGGGGGGCTTATACTCACAATGATGAGTATGGTGCTACTTAGGGTCTTATGCTGGTTAGTTTTGTCATCTTGACAAAATCTAGAGTCGCCTGAGAAAATGCCTCATTAGATTGGCGTAGGGCATATCTGTGAGGCATTTTCTTGATTGATTTGGAAGACCCCAGCCTACTGTGGGGAGTGCTACCTCTGAGCGGCTAGTCCTGGGCTGCACTAGAAAGCAGGCTGAGGAAGCCGTGGAAAACAAGCCGGTAAGTCATGTTCCAGCATGGCCTCTGTACCAGTTCCTGCCTCCAGCTTCCTTCCTTCACTCTCTTCCCTGACTTCTCTTCAAGATATACCATAAACTATAAGCTAAAATAAACCTTTTCTTCCCGAAGTTGCTTTTCTGGTCATGTGTTCACAGCAGTAGTTGAAACCTAACAAGGGCAAATGCTCTTTGCATAGCCCGGGGGCTGCCAACAAAAAGGGGAAGAATATACTCACAATGATGGGGACAGTGCTGGCCCGGGACAAGATCTGTTTCACTAGTCGGTACCTATCATATAGAGGCTTCATAATCTGACGTTCATTCTTTGTCACCTGAAAAGGAAGAACAGGTCAAGTGAGAAGCTGGCTCCCAGGTCATTCTGTTCCTTATCCCTAGCATACTCTGGGCTTTTGTGGCCCAAGAGAATATGAAGATCATACAATTTAAAAACTTACGTAAACTGATAATAATATTTAGTAAATAAACAGACACTGCAGATCAGTGGGAAAAATCACCCTACTGGTACACTTTCTTCTAGACCTGAATAATGTGCTATGTCCTCAGTCCACGTTGGTAAAACGGCTTTTTAAAACTCAAGGTAGGGTGGCTATGGAGCTGGCTCAGCGGTTAAGAACACTGACTGCACTTCAGAGGACCTGGGTAAAATTCTCACCATTCATATAGCCGATCACAGTTCCAGAGGATTCAATGCCCTCTTCTGGCCTCTGTGGGCTCCAGGTATGAACACGGTCCACAAACATACACTCAGACAAACTAACCATATATATAAAAATACATAAGCAAAACCTAAAACAATCCCAAAACACTCCTCTACAAACACTCAACGTGTGAGGAGGACTCAGCAGGTAAATTTGCCAAGCCTGATGACCTGAGCCTTATACCCAGATATGGTAGAAAGAGGGAAATGGCTCCTGTAAGTTGCCTTCTGACCTCTCTATGCTGTGTTGTGCCTCCTCCCAATAAGTAAATGTAAAAAAAAATATCCAAGAAACTCAAGGTTCAAAAATCTCCAGATGGTTCCTTAGCTAGGGGGAGGGGAGGTTACAAGGAAGAAGGCAAGTATTCCTATTATAATGCTTATTACATGGTACTGTAATCAGCTTATTTGGATGAATTTCCTCCACATGAAAGTGTTCCCTCTTAAAAGTATGATTCTGGCAGAGAGTATTCAAGTATTCAAGTAACATTTGTTGCTGTAATCCATTGGATGATCCTCATTTCCTTCAACTGGCACACTGCTCAAAAATCTCTAAGCAGCAGGAAGGAATCCAGTGCAGTTTCCTTTTACAGGATTTGAAACCCTTTGTCATTCATGATTTCTCCCCTTCCCATTGTACTTCAAACTCCAGAGATCACCTCATGCGGAATTCTGGGCGAGTCCCTCTGCACTGGAGGGGCTTTCTCTCTTCTTTGTTTGGAAGCAGCAGATCAGAAGCCAGCTTGGGACAGGCCTCTTTCCTGTTGCCCCATCATGAGAGAACGATCCTGTCCACATTACCACTTGTGCTGGCTTGTTTTGTGTCAGCTTGACACAAACTACAGTCATTTTGGAAAAGAGAAAATGCACCTGCCAGACTGGTCAGTGGGCAAGCCTGTGCTGCATTTTCTCAATGACTGATGTGGTGATTTAAAAGAAAATAGCCCCCACAGGCTCATTAAGAGTGGCACTGTTAGGAGGTGTGGCTTTGCTCAAGGAAGCACGACACTGGGGAAGGGCTTTGAGATCTCAGATGCTCAAGCTGGACCTACTGTAGCATTTTCTTCCTGCTGCCTGTGGATCCAGATGTAAAACTCTCATCTACCTCTCCGGCATCACGCCTACGTGCATAACACCATGCTTCTCACATGATAATAATAGACTAAACCTCTAAACTGTAAGCTATCCCCAGTTAAATGTTTTCCTTTATAAGAGTTGCCTTGTTCTTGAGGCTCAAACTAAGCACTGAGAGGGTAATGATTTCAAGGAAGGAGAACTTAGAAGAGAAGGATGTACCAACTTCTAGCCCAGGTTTATTTCTAGTCACCAATACACTATACCTGAATGAAGCTGGACCTAGCAGTATGATGATGAGTTATTTTAACTGCGGCACTCTGGGCCCATTAATTTAGAAAATGCCAACTCTTTTTATCACTTAAGAAGAGTAGGATGTTTGTGTAAAGATCAGAAAATCTAAAACAACAGCTAACCAGGGTAGTGTTTATATGAAGATATGTAATTTAAATGTTAATTGGCGATTCTCAATGCTGAGTTAGTCAATGTGGTTTTGAAACACAGTGTTAAAATATACCAGTGAGGGAAAGAGTTAAGTAAAAGCCAGAAGCACAAGCCAAACAACCCATTCTCTCCTCTGGAACATTTATTATGAATGGTGATATGGGGCTTTAATTATTTCTTATATTTTTCTGTGACATCATTTTTAAAAACTTTCAACACTCTTAGCTGAAAGGGATTTCATAAAGGCTCACAGAAAATATGAGCCCACTTGTTTTTGTATGTGACAATGTCCATCTACAGAGTGCTCAGCTAAAGCAAACTGCTTTGCTGAGAACTGTGTAGCACATGATTGTTTGGCTGTGTTCCTGACGGCCAATGACCTGTTAAATTGGAATCTGCAGATTTAGAAAAACCCATGAGTTCTGAGCATCTACTTTATGGGACAAAGGGACTTGGAATGACAGCTTAGCATTGAAAATATATGTACTTTTTGTCTAATAGTGTTTATGGTTTGGGGTTAACTATAGCACAGATCTAAAAAATGAAAGTTTTCTTTGATTTTCAGACTGGCTATTTATCAAAGGAAGTTTGCTTTGTGTGTGTGTGTGTGTGTGTGTGTGTGTGTGTGTGTGTGTGTGTGTATGAAGGTTAGAGCATTGTGCATTGTGGTCCCAGAGAGAGGCAGAGAAACCTGACATCAGTGATAACTGACATTAATATTTGTTCTACAATTTGTTCACTATGCTGTGAGATGCTTAAATCTATCTGAAAGGGACTAAGGCAAGACAATGGACTTTGTATTCTTAATGACAAGTCAGAAGAGTCCACTCTTTGCCCCGCTGTACTCATCTAATGTCAAGGAGGCAGGAGACAGTAAACATGGGATTGGGTGGCAGTGAGAACTGTCACTTACTCTGCAACCCCAAAGCTGCTGTTTACTTCCTCTGTTTAGAGTTTACACACCGATATAGATATACATAAATGTCTCCAATTTCTTTTTACTGCCATGACAACCCATAACACATATCTACCAATCAAGCACCAAGAGTTTAAGTGTTTACTTAAGTAGCTCCCGGTCTGCCAAACTGTGTTCATTCAGTTCTGAGGCTAATAGTGTCTGCACTGTGGAACAATGTACAGATATAAGGAAAAGCTTCCCGACTTAAAGACACACAGACACACAGACACCAAAAACAAACAAAAACAACAAAACCCCCAAACCTCCAGCACACAAACCAGTGAGCAAACAGGGAAGTTTGAGCCACTCTGTGCTCTCCTGGTGGGAAGCTTATGCCAGAAGTAGAAGGAGTCAGCCAATATTGCAATTAGAATCCATGCAAGGGGAAGATCTATACAGTATGTGGGCGGGGGGAAGGAGGAACAGTGGCACAGAAGCCTCCTGGTGGCACAAATTCTACATCTAGGATGCCAAGCTTCTGTGGTAAAGGGGCTCTTTTATGTTCACAAGAGCTCAGCTTTGCCTATCCTGATCCTGAATACTCCAGGACTGAAGGACAAAATTTCACAATCTTTAAACTCTGGAGCACTTACTATTTGGTTCAGTGCCTTAAAAAAAAAAAAAAAGTCTGAAACAAAACTTGGCTGAAACATGAACATTATCCCAGAGTTCTAGTACTTTTCCACTGCAAGAACAGTCCAGCAAAGTGAATCAGTGCCAGGACCAGAATTCTTCAAACACACACACACACACACACACACACACACACACACACACACACACACGTGTGCACCCCCTGCCACACACACTTTGATACATTGAGAACTGAAATGCAATGGAGGGTGCCTTCTGTGGATGTTCCCTGGGCTTACACTGTGTGAAGGTTTTGTGCCAGCCACTGAAGATTAGGCTCACTGTTAGGCAAACAACACCCAGAATCCTCACTGCTCCCTCCTCCTCCCCTCCCCTCCCCAAACTCCATGACTGGATGGATAGTTCTGTGTTAGCCCCTGATTCAGTATTGTGCCTTGTTTTAAAAGGAGTTTAATGTATCATTCTGGAAGCTTCTGTATTGAAGAGAGCATCATTTAGGAAAAAAGATGAAATTCATTCCATTAATTCATTAAATTAGCAGTTAAAATACAGGAAGAGTCCTGTATTCAGGGGCTTCATACAAATCTGTGAATCTAAATTTTGTGCTTTCTTGCACCTGCCTGTAGGAATTGCTGTTGTTATTGCATTTTTTTTCTTGCCAACTGTCTGGACAGAAGACTATGAAGAGTTATAGGCAACAAGGATGGCTAAGTTCCTCAAAGAAGTGAGCAGAAAGAAGCCTGTCTTACTCCTGGTTTCCCTAAAGCTGTCCAGAAACAACCACCTCAGATGCTTCCTGATACGATAAAACACAATGCTACATTTTTGCACGGCATATTTTGGGTTCTATACAACACCAGAGGTCCTTTATAAACGCTGGCTGTGTCCCGCAACACAGAGTGACTGTTTTATGACATATCATTCAAGCTTAGCCCCCTTATAATACAGTGGTGGAAGCCTAGACTCAGCTATAGCCTATGGGTGCTGACTTGGGCAAGGGGTCTCCTTACTTTAGAATTTTATACTCTCCCCTCCCCTTTCATCCCTCTTCTTTTTCAATACAACACTAGAAACTCAAGTTTAGTTGCAGATTCACTTTTGTTGAAATTCAGATATGTTCAATATCTAATACCTAACAGAATTCTATTGGCAAAGCCTTTAAACATGTAGATAGGGTGGGAATATACAGTCAGCTTTCTTTCCTGTACAAAAAAAATAGGGAATGTATTAGGAGCCCTAATTCCTGGATAGAGCTAAATTGTAGAAACTTTCCAAAACCAGACAGCTGATCCTACTGAGCAGATTTGGTGCATTACATACCGGCCGTCCATGGACGCTTTCATAGTACAGCAGGGCTTTCTGTAGAGCCACTTTCTCATTAGCAATCTGGTCCTTGGTCATATCCTGTGTAAACACAGTGGTAAGAAATGAAACATGGGGGAAACATTTGTGTACACTCTAACTTCTTTATTTAGTCACGTTCAACTAAAGGAAGAGTTAAGGTGCTCTGTTCAAAGCTCACATAGGAATGAGAGCTTCCAGAGCTCCCATCAGAAACACACCATGGTCTTCAGCTACCTGGAGTACCCACACTGAAGAAAGACATGGGCTGAGCTTAGCGGACCCAGAACTACTGCACTTATAGGCTACACATTCCTAACGGTTTGCTTTTAACCCCTCTACTCAGAGACTCAAGCCATGTATTAATCTCAGAAAGTTTATCTATCTATCTATCTATCTATCTATCTATCTATCTATCTATCTAT